AGATTTAAAAAATTCAAAACGTCTATCAAAAAGAAGAGTTGCGCCAAACTTTTTTATCGAAAATGTTTCGGAGATTTTGCCATTTCGGTTTCGGAGGTTTCGCCAGGTTTCGGAAATTTCGCCCATTTCGGAAATTTCGGATTTATTTCGCCTTTGGGAGAATTTCGGTTTCGCCTTTATTTCATATTGTTACTACTTCTAACTATTTCTTGATTCTCGGTTTATTCTCGGTTTCTTCTCTTTAGATTTCTTGAATTTCAGTCTTTCTTCTTACGCGTTCAGGTTCTTCGGATTTCGCGTTGGTTATAAGGCTAATTCGGCCGAGGAGTTATTATTGATCTAAGCCTTGAGTTAAATTACAAACCTGTTTACCAGTTTCATTCGGCCGATGAGCTTCAACCGATAAACCAGTATTTCTTGTATCGATTCTCTTCGATCACAGTTTACTGCGCCGTTTTCGAAGATCACTTTTAACCCGTGACAATATTAATAATAATAAACTATATCGATATATATCGATATAGTTAATCTAGAATTTTTATTATTTTTATTGCTTTTTTTTTTACTGTTCTAATTTATATCATATTTGTATTACTTGGATCCTGAAATCCCAGAATCGCTTTGCCTAGCCCATGGCGTAGATAAAGTTTATGGATGAGTAAGCATCGTCTTAAGGACTGGCGGAAAACGAGATACACAGAGTTCGGAAGGCTTGTTAATGTTACCTTCGTGACGTTTATGCACCGTATCACCACAATACGTATGTGTAACTAACAGAACGCACAAGGCGTAGGTCCTGAAATTCGAAACGATCGCGCTGGCACTAGTGATACAAATAGAAATCGAAATCGAAATTAATCGATTAGTTGGTTAGTTGACAACTAATCGACTGAACTTTTTAGATACCAACTAATCGATTAATCATTTAAACAATTAATTGATAAATTGCAAAGAATCGATTGAAAAATTATTTATTTACTTAGTGAATTAGTTGCAACTAATCGATTAATCAATTAATCGACCAGTTGCAACTAATCGATTGATCGAAGTTACAACAACTGAAAAAATGATGATCAACTAATCGATTGAAAAAATTTTGATGATTTGTAACACTAGCTGGCACTCAGGATTTCCGGTTGGTCTTAAAATCCTTGGTACTTGACTTCCTCGACCCTATACAAAGGTTTACGAACTATTCTGGATTTTAGGGACAGGCCACCTAGAAGCTGTATGGTTTTCACTTTACCGGCTAAGGTTGATGCATGGAAACCGCGAGGCTCCTGAGAGGGTGTAAGGGAGCGAAATCCCCTATACTAGCGGACGAAAATCCTTAAGTTGATCAATGGCTCTAAGGTATGCTTACAGTAAGTATGTCCTCGCAGTGAAAACGGTTCAGAGAGATGGATTAACGGCCGGGTGGGATAGAATCATAACTGCCGTTGATCTAATGAATTGTTAAGTACTCTGGCGTATCGGATTCGGAATTGCAAGAGGTGAAGCAATTCAAATGTTTTTTCCGTACTTGCTATGCCTATACTAACATCAGCTTGTCCATTCGAATTGCTACTATCAGGTTTCAAATTCTTTTTTTATATTCTTGAATGTGGGTGTTCTCAAGTGTTTTAATAGATTGGTTGGAATAGGTCGGGAAACAAATTTTAATTACCGTATAACCGCGAAATAACGCGCAGGGGTGTAATTTCAATTTTCGGCCTAAATTAAGCTTAATTCGGGCCAAA